CCCCTCCCCCTCCCTCTCCCCCTCCCTACACTGCTCCTTCGCTACCCTGTAGCAGAACTACGAGAGTGCTGACGATATTCCACTGATTCACCCGAAACGCAGATAGACCGCGTAGCGCCATCTGGCGGTGGCGTTTGCAAGTTAATTTACGACGCTAACCGTGACAGTGTTCTATTATCTCTGGTGTATGCGCAGAAGAAACTCGGAAACTCAGAAACTCGGAAACTCAGAAACTCAGAAACTCGAAAACTCCGAAACTCAAAAAGTCGGATGTTGTTTCAGGGCTTCCATAATGCTACGACTAATTATAATCCGAATATGAACCTGTTTGTGTGTCTAGAGTCGGTTGCTAATAGTTACCTACTAATAAGTTTGATGTACTATAATAATAATAATAAACTATAATATACATATCTGTAGGTGTGAGGAGTCTAGCTTCCCGCTGCTGCCGTCGGCGGTTCGCTATGAGGTCGAGGCCGGGGTCAACGCTGACCGCCGCGTGCCAGACATCGAGATGATAGCTGATGTCTACGACAAAGACATCGGACTCGTGTACATGAGCGAGAACGAGGTAGGTGGCAGCACCGACGTGTGCATAGGTGGCAGCACAGAGGCACATGCGAGAGAGTATAGAGTGTAGCGCAGAGCACAGCGGGTTCTCATATAATATGTCATCATCTTATCATCGTCTATCGTCACGATTCTCGTAATACTGGAACATTTGCGAATGCAAGTTTCTCCACATACAATGGAAGCACCTATCGCCTAAATACGCAGAGACCAGCTTTTCGTTCATTAGTACTCGCGGCTCATAGATTTTTAAATACTCGCGTGTGACACTCATGTTGTCTTTGCTGTCCTTCAGGGGGCGCTGGAGGTGCAGGGGACGGTGTCGCGGCCGGGAACCTACAGCTTCGTGTCGCATCACTATCAGCCGAAGCACAGCGAGTTCTCACTCGACGTCATCGTCGACAACGGATACCACGTCTACGAAGGTACGCGGGGGTCGTGCAGGGGTCGCGCATGGGGGGAGGGGGAGTGTGCAGGGGGTTGCGCGTGGGGGGCAATTAATAGGGCAATTGCCAGTTTTAGTTGCCATTTTACTGTTCTTGTGTTGTTGCCACGCTAATGTTTTCCACGTCGCTGTGCTGCAGCCGTGTTGCCGGTGCCCTACTGTGGCTCCCTCTCTGGGTGTCGCTCTCTGGTGGAGACGGGAAGCAGAGATTTCCAGTTTGAGGTTCAAGAGAACTTCACCCTGTCCTTCCAGGTGGCCGGCAGGAAGAGTCTGTGGATGGTAGGTCTAGCGTGTGTCGTATGCTGAGTGCGGTGGCTACTGATCATATATTGCTTAAAGGAATGCAAATCTATCGGTTCTTTGCGTATTTTCAGTTCAAATGTGTTTAAATTATGCTTAGATGTGTGTACTGTAGATCGTATTGTATGTTTCATGAATGTTTGGGATTTATTGTATCCCCCGCGACGAAGTCGACGGGGATACTGTGGTTTCATGTCTCCCCAGCCGCCGCCGCCGCAGACAATTTTCCTTCCGCTTTATAACTCGACCCCTAATTGACCTAGCGCTATCAAACTTGGTATACTTACACCTCTTGGGGAGAATGTGTGTCGCATACCAAAACCAGGTCACTGCAACCTTTATTTGACCTTTACCTTGACCTTGATCATATTTTCCTTCCGCTCTCTAACTCGGCCCCTAATTGACCTAGCGCTACCAAACTTGGTATACTTACACATCTTGGGGAGAAGGTGCGCAGCGTACCAAAACCAGGTCACTGCAACCTATATTTGACCTTTACCTTGACCTTGATCATATTTCCTTTCCGCTCTATAACTCGGCCCCTAATTGACCTAGCGCTACCAAACTTGCTATGCTTACACATCTTGGGGGAGAATGTGTGTCGCATACCAAAACCAGGTCACTGCAACCTTTATTTGACATTGACATTGACCTTGACCTTCATCATATTTCCCTTCCGCTCTATAACTCGCCCCTAATTGCCCTAGCGCGACCAAATTTTGTATACTTACACATCTTGGGGAAAACACGGGGGATACTTGTAGTTGGCGACAACTGCCCTTTCTAGTTATTTATTTGTTATAATGTCGTAGAGGTCACTGTAAAGGTTATTGTATGTTTCATGACTGTTTAGGACTACATTTTATAACAATTTAGAGATCACTGTGAAGGTTATTGTTGGTTTTCTCGTACATGTAGGACTATGTGTTGTAGCATTGTATACATTAATTAATATGTTTTATTTCCGTGTAGGACTATGTGTTGGTGATTCCATCGACCGACCAGCGACCGGACTTCAACGCTAAGGGGATGGTGGACAAGGCTTCAGACTTCATCCAGGAATGCGCCAAGGATCACTTCTACGTGGAGTGAGTGTCTGCAGAGCTGCTGCTCGCGTGTGTGATTCTGTGTGTGACTGTGTGTGCGACCATGTGTGTGATTCTGCGCGTGCGTATGGTGCGTGAGACATTCCGCATGGGTCGTTATAGCGATACTAGTTACATGACAGTTCTAGAACATTACGTCTCTCTGTTATCTCTCCTGCATTTTCTTGCTTTCTCTCTCTCTCTCTCTCTCTCTTTTTCTCTCTCTCTCCCTCTACGTTACCTCTACAGTATATTATACATATATAAATATAGTATATGTATAGTACATGACAGTTCTAGAACATTACGTCTCTCTGTTATCTCTCCTTCATCTCTCTCGCTTTCTCTTTCTTCCCCCCTCTCTCCCCCTCTCTCTTTCTCTCTCTCTCTCTCTTTCTCTCTCTCTCTACATCTATTTCTACTTTATCTCTATATTACCTCTCCTTTATCTTCTCTCTCTCTTTCTCACACACACAGCCCTAGTCGGCAAGGCTTCTGCCGTGACGCAGTATTCTCGCTGACTACTGAGTACAACAACGGTGCGCTGCAGTGCGGGTGCAACATTGACGGGTCGCTCAGCTTCCAGTGTGAGGAGTTTGGCGGACGCTGCATCTGTAAGGACAACGTCATCGGCCGCATCTGCTCACAATGTCACCCTGGCTACTACGGCTTCCCTAACTGCCAGAGTAAGTGTGTGTGTAAGAGTAGTTACTATACATAACTAGTGATGTCCCGATGATCGATTATAATCGAAAATCGATCGATTATAGTCTCAAATTCGATAATCGATTATGAAAACAAATAATCGATTATCGGAAATACCAAAACAAACAAACGAGGAACTGTACTCACGATGTGTGAATTGATATGACAAGTAGAGCACAAGTCCTGCAGGGGGTTAATGCTACGAGAGTAGCGTTGACAGAAACACATCGTAGCTACGAGCAAACTCACGATAACAGGAACTTCATAATTTCATATAACCAGGCTGCTGATTAGATGAGAATCGATCACAAAATTCAAATTCATACACATTTATTGTACATCACAGTAATTTATGCATATTATGATGGCTAACCAATGTTTGATGAAAAATTACGTGGTACTTTTTGTGGTTTGACACTGTCCCACAGATGTTATCCGTAGATGAGATTCTACTATCCGTATTGTTTGTTACATTGTGTTGGAGAGGATATTCCATTGGCAGGACATTAACTCGGCTACACAGCCTACACTATTAGAACACAAACAACTTACTTACTATAATAAAGAACAAGTCTTGATCATGTTTGTTTAAAACTTTTAATGTTTTAATAAAGGCATTTAAACCATTTCTTTTTAAATTGATTAAATACTGTATAGGAGGAACAGACATTGATATACATACAGCAACCTTCACAGAGTTACTACATGATCATAAAACATGATAATATTGAATGCTATGTATAATTGTATATAAAATGTAAGATTAAATTTAATCTATGCTATTATTAACCGATTATCCGATTATAATCGATTATCGATCGGTTAAGGGAAACCGATAATCGATTATGAAATTCCAGCCGATTCCCATCACTGTAACATAACCATACCACACTACATAGCCACAGTAAGTATGTGTGTAACAGTGGTTACTACATAACCATACCACACTACATAGCCAGAGTAAGTGTGTGTGTAAGAGTGGTTACTACATAACCATACCACACTACATAGCCACAGTAAGACTCTTACACACACACTTACTCTGGCTATGTAGTGTGGTATGGTTATGTAGTAACCACTCTTACACACACATATGTAGTGTGGTATGGTTATGTAGTAACCACTCTTACACAACACTTACTGTGGCTATGTAGTGTGGTATGGTTATGTAGTAACCGCCAGAGTAAGTGTGTGTGTAAGAGTGGTTACTACATAACCATACCACACTACATAGCCAGAGTAAGTGTGTGTGTAAGAGTGGTTACTACATAACCATACCACACTACATAGCCACAGTAAGTGTGTGTGTAAGAGTGGTTACTACATAACCATACCACACTACATAGCCAGAGTAAGTGTGTGTAAGAGTAGTTACTACATAACCATACCACACTACATAGCCGGAGTAAGTGTGTGTAAAAGTATAGTTACTACATAACCATAGTTACTACATAACCATACTCACTCCCTCTCTCACTCGTTTTCTCGCTTCCACTCACTCACTCACTCACCCATGGCTGTGTCTTCCTTGCAGAGTGTAACTGCCCTAACGGCATCTGTGAGCAGGACACTGGTAAGTGCATCTGTCCGCCCAACGTCGCCGGGCCACAGTGCAACGTCTGCCTGCCGGAGACGTTCGGCTACGATCCTTTTATCGGCTGTGAGGAGTGTGCGTGCGAATACTATGGTGTCGAAGACCGCAACATGACCTGTGACCTCATCACGGGAAAGTGCCGGTAGGTGGCACTGCCGGGCGGGCAGGCAGGAGCAAGGGGGTGGGGAATATCGAGTTTTTATTGTTGTTTTGTTAGATTATGCCGCGTTCCGTGTCATTCAACTGCATTCCATGTTGTTATTCCATGTTCCGTTTTGCTACATTGCATTCCATGTCATAACTGTGTTTTTGTGTCATTACATCGTCCCCTGTGTGGTTACACTGTGTTTATTGTCGCTAGACCTCGTTAGGGTTAGGGTTAGGGTTAGGGTCGTCAAGCCGTGTTTCATGTGACAACACCACATTCCGTGTCATCGTATCGTGTTCCATGTCATAACACAGCGTTCCGTGTCGTCCTGCTTCAGCTGTAAGGAGAACGTGGTCGGGAGGCAGTGCACGGACTGCATGGTGGGCAGCTACGCCTACCCTCACTGCGTAGACTGCACGTGCAGCCGGTATGGAGTCACGCGCGATGTGTGTGACCAGACGAACGGTGACTGCATCTGTAAGGTATGTGTGGGAGAGGGGGAGAGGAGAGAGAGATAGATAGATGGAGAGGGAGAGGGAGATAGTGTAGGAGGGAGCGAGAGAGAGAGAGAGAGAGAGAGAGAGAGATAGTGTGAGAGGGAGAGAGAGATAGAGAGAGAGAGAGCTCACTCGCGAGAAAGATAGAGATAGATAGAGCGAAAGAGAGAGAAAAAAAAGAGAGACGAGAGAGAGAGAGAAAGAAGCCATCTCTATATATCAGCTATATATCTGTCTCTCTCTATCCTCTCTCTATCATCTGTATTGAGTAACAATAAGTACAACAGTCACACAGCAGTAGCAGCCTGTGCGCTATATCACTATGTACGTCTCTCTCTATCCACCGCAGGACAATGTGGAGGGAGCGCGCTGTGACCAGTGCGCACCAGGCTCCTACTACCTTCACCCAGACAACGAGAAGGGATGCACGAGCTGCTTCTGCTTCGGAGTAACCAAGGCCTGCGCCAGCTCCGAGCTCGTCGTCGTATACGTAGGTGGCGCCACCTCACGATATCCGCCGGGCTATTATAGCTCCGATCTTCTTGCTTTGAACTCTTGCTCAGACCTTTCACTCTGACCTTCTTCTCCGACTTTTGCTCAGAACTTGGCAGAAATGCTTTTCAGTAAAGTTACTTGCGTTTTTGCCGAAAAAAAATGCGAACCTACTGAAATTTGATTCTTGTAAATGGAGTTATAATGTCAACTCATTGTAATCATTCAGGACTATATGTGCTATATATGCGCTATATATGCGCTATATATGCGCTATAGATGCGCTATATATGCGCTAAATATGCGCTATATATGCGCTATATATGCGCTATATATGCGCTATATATGCGCTATATATGTGCTATATATGCATCTCTGCGTTTTACTTACTGCCGAGTAGCTCGGAAATGCTAAAAGCGTCTGCGACATGCATACACAGCGACGTTCTCTTGTTCTGACATGGCGTCTGACGTTCTATTGTTCTGACATGGCGCGTTCTCTCTCCCCCGCAGATCATGGACATGCGGGACTGGAACGTGACAAACCTCGAGAACCCGTTGATAGACGATGCTTCTAACCTCGCCTACAACGACCCGACGCTTATCAACGTACGCGTCCGTGAATCGCGACCCATCGACCCCGACGCCGCGTCGTACTTCGTTGCTCCTGCGCCCTACCTCGGCGACAAGGTACGACCGCCAGGTGGCGACGGCGTCGCGTGCAAAATGATGGGCGGGAATTTAGACTTTAAATTGTGAGCGCGGTTAAGTGGGTAAAGCTAGGATTCGATGCTTACCGTACTATATGATCGCGTAATAACCGCGGGCGCCTGTAAGCAGCACCTCAATTTGAATCGGGTAACCAAGTATTGCGCCTAGTATATTTCCCCTCACGGTATGGCGCACTTATAAACCGCAGAGCAAATACAGGGTTGAAATCTGAGGCCAAATTTGCGGTTATTACGCGAGTATATACGGTAGCAAAAGAAAAATCGTTCGTGAATTATCGAATCGTTTGCTAGAAACCGAATTGAATGCGAATAAATAGGTCACCCGTTTTGCCGAGATTAGATGAAAACGCAACTGAATGTTCTACTGCGCGTTTGCATGAATGGTCAATTATTAGCTCAGCTGACGAAGTCAGATGCAGCTGGTAGAATCGCATGAATGTTCGTCCGTCCGTCCGTCCGTGCGTCAACAGTTACGGCACAAATCTTAACCGCGTGATGTACGATCTTGATATTCGGGACGTCGGGGGGGATCGCGAAAAGGACTCGGGATGTCGAATTTGGGGGTCATGGGTCAAAGGTCAAGATGTGTACTTAACTTAAGGTATAGGAGGAAATATGGAATTGCGGCACAGATCTCAACGGCTCGACCTACGCTCTTAATATTCGATGGCTATAGTGTGATGGGGAGGAAACCCATCACCAGCGCGAAATTGGACGTCACAGGTCAAAGGGCAGTGGGGAAAAGGTCAGATATCAGACATTTTCTGAGGACATGGTCTAACGGACCGAGTGCAAAACTTTTTTGTTTCAGCGCTTTATTTTTATCACTTTATTGAAAGGATCGCGTGAAATGTGCTTTCCGCTGACGTACGAAGAGTAAGTGTCTGATAACCTTTTGACCCTCAAGAGGAGGGTTAAACATGGATTTGTTTACTGTTAACAAAGGACTGAACTGCTTTTGCTATTAGAGCCCCCTCCACCCGCCCCCATCCTCCCCCCACCACCACCACTACGCTCGCGCTCGACGCATATCCATGATAACGTTAATATAGCGAAGTCATTAAAGTTACACATCTATATCTTTATTACTGTACCACCGGTATAGCAAAGCCTATCAACGCGGTGGTGGGAGGGCGCACTTGATTCGGTTGCCAGTGAGTTTATCAGAAGAATATCCGGCTACAGTACACGTCAGTTGAGCACTGTCGCTCTGCGGCACTTGTTTAAAGTTGCTGTAAGACTTTAACCACTAGAGGGCGCTATCAGAGGTGTGTATCGTCTGCAGGTGACGTCATACGGAGGTCGCCTGACCTACTCTGTCGCGCACACGCCGGCAGATCAGGACGCTTACCGCATCATCCAGGGTGATGTCATCATCACGGTAGGTGGCGCCCTCACAAATTATAATAATAATAATAATAATTTAAAAAAAAAATTATTTTATTTATAATAATAAATACATTAACAATAAAAACGAGAATAATGTAAGCATCTGCATAATACAATCTATCACGTATTTATAATGACATGTTCTCTTTCTCTCTCTCTCTACCCCGCTCCCCTCCCCCGCTCACATCTGCCGCACGTGCGTGCGTGTGTACAGGGTAACAACATCAGTGTTGTTCACACGTCCATGGATCAGCCGGAGCCTGAACTCTCCACCCACATCTCTGTCGCTCTCGTAGAATCCTCGTTCGTCCTCGCCGACGACGCTGCCCACCAGGTGGCGGTGACGCGCGAGCAGTTCATGATGGTGCTAGCGGACGTCACGTCGCTGCACATACGCGCAACCTACTACAGCGCCACCCAGGACTCAATGTGAGATGGGCTTCCTGTCTAACATTATTATGGTTTATTATATATGTATATATATACCTCGATATGTGATATGTATATATTATAAATATATATACATATACATATATATATTATATATATTAAAATGCCACGCCATCCTGAAAATAACTGTTCCTCCTCTTTATAATCTATCTTTCCCTATCTCCGTCACCCTCTTGAGCTCTCTCTCTCTCACCCTCTCTCTCTCACTCCTCTCTCTTTCACCTCTCTCTTTCACCATCTCTCTCTCTCACCCTCTTTCTCTCACCCCTCTCTTTCTCTCACCCCTCTCTCTCTCACCCCTCTCTTTCTCACCCCTCTCTCACCCTCTCTCTCTCTCTCACCCCTCTCTCTCACCATCTTTTTCTCACCATCTCTCTCTCACCCCTCTCTCTCGCCCCTCTCTCTCACCCTTATCTCTCACCATCTCTCTCTCACCCCTCTCTCACACCATCTCTCTCTCACCCCTCTCTTGCTCACGCCTCTCTCTCTCTCACCCTCTCTTTCTCACCCCTCTCTCACCCTCTCTCTCTCACAACCCTCTCTCACCCCTCTCTCTCACCATCTCTCTCTCACCCCTCTCTCTCTCACGCCTCTTTCTCTCTCTCACCCTCTCTCTCTCTCACCCTCTCTCTCACCCCTCTCTCTCTCTCACCCCTCTCTCTTTCACCCCTCTCTTTCACCCCTCTCTTTCTCACCCACTCTCTCACCCTCTCTCTTCTCTTTCACCCCTTCTCTTTCACTCCTCTTCTCTCTCTCTCACCCCCTCTCTCTTTCACCCCTCCTCTCTCTCACCCCTCTCTCTCACCCTCGTTTCCCTCACCCTCTCTCGCCCTCTTTCTCTCACCTCTCTCTCTCTCACCCCTCTCTCACCTCTCTCTCTCTCTCTCTCTCGTCTTCTCTCCCACTTTTCTTTCTCTTCTCTCACTCTCTCTCTCTCTCTACCCTCTTTCTCTCACCCTCTTCTCTCTCTCTCTCTCACTCACTGCTCGCTCCTTTTCTCTCGGCCCTCGCCTCTCTCTCTTTCTCTCTCGCTCGCTCGCTCTCTCTCCCTCTCTCTCTTTCACCCTCTTTCTCTCTCTCTCTCTCTCTCTCTCTCACCTCTTTCTCTCTCACTCGCTCGCTCGCTCTCTCCCTCTCTCTCATGCTTGTGTGTTTCGTGCAGGATTGCTAACGTCTCGCTCCCCATCGGTATCGTGGGAGGAGCCGAGACAGAGGGACACGACCTAGATCAGGCGCACAGCGTCGAACAGTGCCAGTGTCCGCGCAACTACGAGGGAAGCTCGTGCGAGGTACGTGTGCTGCCATCTGTGCACGACGGCCGGAAACTTCGTCGGCCGTCGTAGAAGCGAGAGAAGCGATGATATGGACATTTTCCCTGAGAAGTGTGAATATTTTCTGAGATGGCCGCCGATATTCTAAGATGGCCGTAGAGAAAAAAGCAAACAACACCTGTCCTGTCATTAATAGGTTACAGCGATTTTTTCACCCAAGACATTCAGTTAATAAAGAGATAGATCTCAGTTGGATAATAAATTGTCGCATGGGACGTCCGTGTGCGTACGTGCGTGCGTGCATGCGTGCGTGCGTGCATGCGCGTGTGTGACGGTGTTGTTGTTGTTGTTGTTGCAGGTGTGTGCTGAGGGCTACCACCGCGTGGACGAGGGACCCTACCTCGGTCACTGCGTGCCGTGTAACTGCTACGGACACGCGGAAACCTGCGACCGCAACACCGGAGAGTGCGTCGTAAGTACAGCTGCCGTCAGGGGGCGCCGGGGAGGGGGCGGGAGACGACGGAGAAAGTAGAACATAGAAGATGGTGGAAGGGAGAGGGTGGTATAACTTAGATGATGAAGACGGGAGGATGTAACTATGCGGCGGGTGGTTGTCATGGCAACAGCTGCCGCCGCCCTCCTCTCTGCGCGTCACTCAGGTGACCCCCTCATGCGTGAATCTCCCGTCGCAGGATTGTCGCAACAACACCGTCGGTGCCAACTGCGATCGCTGCGAGCTCGGTTACTATGGCGACGCGACGCAGGGAAGCGAGTGGGACTGTCAGATCTGTGCCTGCCCTCTGCCGACGGTCGCCAACAACTTTGCGGCGTCGTGCACTCCCCTCGAGGACGGGTTTGAGGTGACGTGCGTGTGTCTGGAAGGATACAAGGGTGTCAACTGTGAGATGTAAGTACTGCTGGGAGAGAGGAAGGGGAGAGGGAGGGAGGATTAGTACCTATTTCCTGATTCCCAGATAATTCTCCAGAAAATGCTCAATTCCTTGTCCTGAAAGTAAGTTTCACCCGCCTTCTCTTACAAGGTTAGTACTACTGTACTACATTCTTATGTACATTATTATTATTGTTATTATTATTATTATTATTATTATTATTATTATTACTCTCTTTCACTACGCTGTGTTTCCCCGTGTCACCACTAGTATGCGGCGGCACCCGCCAGTGAAAACTGAGAGAATCTCTTTACTAGCCCACTATACTAGGCCAGTAGCTTACTAGGGCACAATAAATTAAATTAATTATCACCACTAGGTGTGCTGCTGGTTACTGGGGCGACCCGACGGAGCCGGGCGGGGCGTGCGTGCGCTGCGAGTGTAATGACAACCTCGACCTGTCCACGCCCGAACCCTGCGACACGGCGACAGGAGAGTGTCTGTCATGCGGCAACGACACGGGAGGACCTGCCTGCAGCCGATGTGTGCCCGGTTACTACGGCGACGCCATCATCGCAAAGAACTGCGTCCGTACGTAGTGATCGACGCAATGTCGTCGGAATTTCGTTTTAATTTGTTGTTGTTTGTTGTTGTTGCTCGGAGGGCCGGTGTTTTGCCAATGTTACCGGCCCTTCAAATAATTTGCCGGCATATGCCGGTGTGCCGGTGCTAATTTCGCGCGCTGCCCTGACCGTAGGTTACTCATGCGCAATTAATTTTTAAACTTATAGTGATGCGTGCATGGGAGGTAGTAATGATGATAATGGTGATGATGCTGATGACGACGATGCTGACGACGACGATGCTAATAACGACGATGACGACGATGACGACAACGATGCTGATAACGACGATGACGACGATGCTGACGACGACGATGCTAATAACGACGATGACGACGATGACGACAACGATGCTGATAACGACGATGACGATGACGATGCTGACGATGACGATGCTGACGACGACGACGATGACGATGCTGACGACGACGACGATGACGATGACGATGACGATGATGATAGGGTGCTGGTGGCCGGTGCGTGGCTGTCGGGCAGCTAACACAAGCACCCGTCATCATCACCAGCTAACACAAGCACCCATCATCATCACCAGCTAACACAAGCACTCGTCATCATCACCAGCTAACACAAGCACTCGTCATCATCACCAGCTAACACAAGCACCCATCATCATCACCAGCTAACACAAGCACTCGTCATCATCACCAGCTAACACAAGCACTCGTCATCATCACCAGCTAACACAAGCACTCATCATCATCACCATCTACAGGTTGTTCGTGCGACGCGTGCGGGACGGAGGAGTGCGACTTTGACACCGGAAGCTGCCGCTGTGCCGCCGGCGTCGAGGGAGTCGCGTGCGACCGCTGCCAGCGCAACATGTACGGCTTCAGCTCCTGCGAGGGATGCACGCACTGCAACTGCTCGGAGGCATCGATGAGCAGCCAGTGCGACGCGGAGACGGGAGACTGCGAGTGCCAGCCCGGCGTGCGCGGGCGCACGTGCGACACGTGCAAGAACGGATACTGGAACTTCTCTCCGTTCGGCTGCCAGAGTGAGTCATAGATAGATGTGTGTGTGTGGTGGGGGGAGGGGAGAGGGAGATAGGTAGTCTGGTAGAGAGAGAGAGGGGGGGAGACAGTGTGTGTGCGTGAGAGAAAGAGAGAGGGGGGAGAGAAAGATAGAAGGAGAGAGAGAGAGGTGGGGGGGGAGAAAGAGAGAGGGGGGAGACAGTGTGTGTGTGTGTGTGTGTGAGAGAGAGAGAGAGAGAGAGAGAGAGAAAGCGAGAGAGCGAGAGAGAGAAAGAGAGAGAGAGAGAGAGAGAGCGAGGG